CGTCTCTCCCACCTCTTTGCCTGCAGAGTCACACAGCGGCCATCAGCTGGCTCCCTGCAGCCCCCCGCCCTGCCCTCCCCTCGTCCTGCCCACCCGGGGGAGGCAGAGCTGTGTTGCTGCTCCTGCTCAGAAGAGGAAGCTCGAGACTCCGATTGCTAGAAGTCTCTACATGCTTTAGCAACGAGTGACTTGACAGTGGTTACCTGGAGGTGTGGTGGCAGAGGTCAGAGAACTGGCTCAGGTCTATCCGTGCCCCCCAAATGTTCTCTGGGGCCAAGGGAGGAGGACAAAGCATCCTCATGCTGGGCAAAAACACAGCTGAAAACTGCTGTTCACCCTGCTCCACTGCCTCTGCTTTCTGCTAGGCCCGTCAGCAATGTGTGCAGCACAAGCTGCACCTTGGAGGCACCAACTGGCCCCGCTGAGCATCATCCTGCAGCAGCTCCAGGCCCCAGGGAAGTTTCTGGGCACTCACCTTGCTGCTTCATCCAGGCCCGCTCCTGAATGAAGCCGATGAAGGGGGCTATGCCAGTCCCCGGTCCGATCATGATGACGGGCGTGCTGGGTTTGAAGGGCAGGCGAAACTGCGATTTCCTGACGTACATGGGCACCAGGGAGCAACTCCCGTTCTCATTGGGCACCTTGTTCTTCAGCCAGTTGGTGGCCACCCCTTTGTTCAGGCGTCCCGTCTTGGTCTCGTACTCTACCATCACGGCACAGATGTGGATGGCGTTGGGGTGAACCTGCAGGGAAGGGATGTCAGCGCCAGGCAGAGAGGGAGCTCCAGACGAGGTTCTGGGCCACCCCACAGCTCAGTCCCTTGTACTCAGGGACGGGGAGAAGTTTAACTAAGTATTAACATTGGGACAGCTATCCCTCCCCTGGCACATCAGACCTCCAAGGATGACGTCCATGAGGCTTGTGCCTGGTTGTCCAACTCACCACAGGACCACTGAGCTTCCCTTGGTATTCCTGACAACCTCAGGGCTCTGGGCACAAAGTACAGAGCGAGTTTTGATCAACCCCTGAAACGCCACCTTGCCTCCAAGCCCTGAAAGCAAAGCCTACGGGCCAAGAGGAGCAGAGCTGCAAGGAGGGCGATGGTATCAAGGCACCGCTGGCTGCGGTGTGGGACCCTCTGTGGAGGGTGGGATAAACCCCTCTTCTCATGCACGGAGATAATGAAAGCTGCCCCCGTGACAGACAGCGTCACCAGGGCAAACTCCCCGTGTCCCGTCCCCAGCTGAGAGGAGGGACAGCGGCGCTGTGGGGTCCCTCAGCAGCCTCCATCCCTGCTGGAAGCAGGCTCACCTTGGAGGAGGAGGCGATGGAGTAGTAGCGGGCTTGCAGGCGGGGCAGGAGCTCACACAAGTGGTCGATGGGGGGGCGCAGCGAGGGTATGTCCTGCAGGATGGCCAGGATGTTCCTCCGGGCCTCCACCACCCAGCTGAGGTAGAGAGCCTGCGGGCAAGGAGGGCACGCACGTGACGGCTTCCCTACGCCGCTGGCAAACGCTCCCTCAGCTCTCTGCACGTGGTGCCCAGCAGTCCTGGATCCCTTCTGGGGATCCCCCAGCACCCGGTTTAGCCCAGTGGCTTTGCTGAGAAGGCCACAGCTCCCACCTTGCCCTCGGCGGCAGACGATGCCCTTTTTCGGAGGGGGTCCCGCGCGCCCGCGGCCCTGGCGTCTCGCCGGCGTCCGTGGCGTACTGGGCCAGCTCGTAGAGGACGTTGGTGCGGGGCGGGTTGGTGATATCCAGGTAGTACGTCAGGGCTGTACGGTAGGACGTGGGGCAGGGGAAGGGATGTTTCTTATTGGATTCCTCTGAAGGAGAGAAGAGAGAGAGAAAAAAATTCAGAAATCAGCAGCTGCATGCTGCTCCAAATCTTGTGCCAGCAGCTACACACAGCGTAGAGCTGGAGACAGCCACGTGCAGCTACAGGCATGAGCGCTGCAGACAGCGCAGGGGAACAGGCTTCAGGGAGGGGAGCAGCCCTAGGGCTGAATCAGCCCTGATCCTGCGCTGAAGCAGCCCCAGCACAGGGCAGCTCCCTCTCCAGGTAGCTACGTCCCCCGGTAGCCCATTTTGTGTTTCACAGATGCTGCCTGACAGCTTATCAGAAAAAAAACAAACCAAACCAAACCAAACCCCACGCTTCCCAACGGGGCTCTCCGCCCCGAGATCCCCACGCACGGAGACACCCAGCAAACCCCCAGGCCAAGCAGGAGGGCTGCTCTCCATGGCTCGTTTGGCCTCACGCACTTACACCTCCTTCAGTTCTGGCCCCAAAAGCATCCTTAGCCTCCGCCAGCCATGGGCAGAGCCCCCTCGGGAAAGGTCAGCACCAGCAGCCGAGGCTGGAGACATTTCGTTCAGCAAAGCAGGGACAGGACTGGCAGCGTGAGGAGGAGAGCCCGGGACACCGCACAGGCATCTGCCGGCTCCAGCAGTGCCACCTGCGCTCTCGAAACCAGGAGCCAGCTCTTGGCCTTCTGGGCCAGCACCCCTGACGCTCCATGTCAGGCTGCTTTAGGAGTAAGACGGGCAGCAGCTGCCATCTCCCTCCTGCCAGAGACCAGCTCTGCTGGGAACGCTGCCCAGGAAAAGCTCTTTGTGTCAGCACAAGTGCTCCCTCCCGGCAGTTCAGTCCCCAAGCCTGTGCCTCCTCCAAGGACTGAATAACAGCATCTCAGACACGAAGCCCCCATTGAGCTCCGGGGCTGCTGCGGCAGAGGGATGCTCCGGCGGGCCGACGCTCTGTAATTAGGAGCGTGCCGTTACATAATTTGCTGTTGAATGGGCACAGCAAACACGTTTCACAACCGACCCACTTCAGCCGGCTCGCAGCAAGCGGGGATTCCTCTGCTTGCCTGGAGGTGCCCTGCGGGACCCGAAGGCGATCGGCGCCTGCCCTGGTGGGAAGGACAGAGGTTATAGCTGCAAGAGAACTGCTGCTGCTCAGGGGTGATCCATACTCACCATCCAAATTGTTTAGGGACATGATCGTGTCCAGATCCGTGCCCAGGATCTCACCAATCTGATTCACCAGAGAGGAGTCGTTGGCTGGGTACACCGCCACGTGGTCCCCAGACTCGTACCTGGCACAAGAGCGGGAGGAGAGCAGATGAAACACCACCACCACTTCCCGTCCACCCCGAGCCCGAGCTGCTCAGTTCGGAGACAAGCGGGCTGGTGCAAGGGGCAGCAGGACACCGCTGAGATCTGAGCTGCTACACAGCGCCTGCACAACCAGGGACCCCCCAGAGCCGGCGGTCATAGCAGAAAGGACCATCGTGGAGTAATGGTTTTAAGAACCAGCTCTTTGACAAGGGACCTCCCAGACAACAGCAGTTTTGCCGGAGACTTCAATGAGGCCAGACTTCCACAGGACAAGCCAGCTCCCCGACAGGCAAGGAGCAAAGCTGCTCGAAACCTCGGCAGTATTTTGTTACGTTAAGCCACCTGGATTCGCAGCGTTCTTACAAGCACACACTGAGGATTTTAAGCCAGCAAGAGGGTTTTTGAGAACAGGGCTTTATTCTCCCTATGCTTGTACACCTGAGCCAAGCAGACCCACACGTAAGCCATCCCCAGCTCTCCCCCCCTCTCATAGCTCATCTACCCCTCATTTTCTTAACAACTCCTAGAGAATTCTTGCAGCTGGGACTGCTCAGGTAGGACAGGTATGCGCAGCCAGCTCCGGAGGGACACAAAGCCAGCTGGCACAGCCAGGCACAGCGCAAGAGCTGGGAGAAAGTCCTGCTGTGGGGTACCTGACACGTGGTACAGAAACCCAGAGGGGCGGTGTTAATTAATTAAGAGAACAAGGTCCCCTTCTGCAGTGCTGGACGAGGCCAGTGCCACATCCTCGTTCTCTGCTCCTGCCAAAATAGAGGAGCAGTCTCCCATGGGAAACTACCTGATTTTGGAATCGGAGATATCCAGCTCCAGGTGCATAAGGTGTCGCTCTCCACCCTCGTTCAGCTTGCGGTTCTCCGTAACCTGGGCCAGGAAGGGGTTCTTGGCATCAAACGGTCTGGAAGGAAAGACGAGGACCCTCTGGGTTACCCTCCTGAGGCTCACAGCGCTGCCTGCATCCAGGCACGTTCCCTCTGCCTCCAGAGCAGGCTCCCATGACCTGAGCACAGGGCTGTCCTGGTTCACGTTTCAAAGCCCACTGCAGCACAAACCAAATTATGATCCTGCTGCTACCCACACTGGCACGGAAAACGTCATTTTCCTTCTACGCACAGCCCAGCAGCCAGCAGCTCCCGTCCCATTAAGAACACGTGATACAGAAGTGGCTTGGAGGGACTGTCCCAACTGAAAGAAATATTTCAGGCTGGAATTCATTTAACAGCTAACATCCCCACAGCAACACTGCAAGGAACCATCACACATTAGCTACCCTGGGCAAGGAAAGGCTCCAAGTGACCTCAGAACAGATGCTGCAAATGTACCACCAAAACAGCACACGTGAACACAGCCTTCTGCTCAGTTAATGAATTGGTGGTGGTGAGAAATCTCAGAGTCCCAGTGCAGATCTGAGCCCATTTCTCTTGGGCAGAGACCTGCCAGATGGCTGCACTGCAGAAAGGACACCCCCTGCAATGCAGGTGTTAGAAGCATCAAGGATCCGTCAGTCGAACCCTGGCCCACGTACACCCCGCCCACGGTGGTTTGGTACTTACGGCTTCTGGTTCTCGTAGCTCTTGAGACGGCCCATCTCACCGGTGTAGATTTTGTTCATGTTCACATCTGTGTGCACCACCAGCTCATACTGGCGGATGCTGGAGGAGAAAAGAGAAAAAAGTCAAACTGGAAATCACAAGGTACAGCTGGAACCATCATCTGCTTTGCTGAATTTCATAGATTCATAGAATGCTTTGGGTTGGAAGCGACCTTTAGAGGCCATCTAGCCCAGCCCCCTGCAGTGAGCAGGGATGTCTTCAACTGGATCAGGTTGATCAGAGCTCCATCCAACCTGGCCTTGAACGTTCCCAGGGACAGGGCCTCCACTGCATCTCTGGGCAATCTGTTCCAGAGTTTCATCACCCTCATGGTAAAAAATTTCTTCCTTATATCTAGTCTAAATCTACCCCCCTTAGTTTAAAGCCATCACTCCTCATCCAATCGCAACAAGCCCTGCTGAAAATATTTTCCCCGTCTTTCCTATAGGCCCCTTCAGGTACCGAAAGGCTGCATTCGTTCAGCCCTTCCTCCCAGAAGAGGTGCTCCAGCCCTCGGATCATCTTTGTGGCCCTCCTCTGGCCCCACTCCAACAGCTCTGGAGTTTTGCTGCAGTTCCAAACCAATTGCAGCTTCCATCCCTTCGTCCCTCTCGAGACACGAGGGATCAGGCAGAGCATGCAGAAAGCCCAAACCAGGAGGAAACATCAGCTTCACTGGGAACATCGCAACCCAGCAAGGCCATCCACAGAGGAACCAAACCTATCACATCACCCATCCAGAACCAAAATCCAGACCTGGGTTCAAACTCGCACCAGGACAGGCTCAGTCCAAACAGCCCCACTCGCTGTTCTACTCCACAGGTGCAGTCTCAGGTCTGGAAGGGGAGGCAGCGCACAGGGAAGGGGACAGCAGCTCAGGGCTGACGGCACGGCCACCAGAGGTGGCCAATCTCTCTGGCACCCGAAAGAACCTGCTCCCACACCCACCTGGACTCTTCTCCCGTAGCCTCCACCCCGAAGTGCTCACACACCGCTGGCCAGAACTGCTCTCTCCAGGTGATGAAGTCTTCTTCCAGGCTAGCCAGGGCAAAAGAAAGATTCAATAACCCAGCCCCAAGTGGGAGCAAAGCGGCATTCCCAAAGGAGCCGTCTGAGATCCCTACGGACTTCCTCCCTTCACTGTAACAAAAAGCATTCACCCTTGGACCAAGGCAGTGTTGGTACCTCCACGTGCCCACAGGTCACCAGGAGAGCATCTTCAGAGCACTAAGCAGGTATGAGGGAACATGCTACACCAGCCACCCCTCCCTTCACCACATCTGTCAAGGCAGGCTCTGTTATTCAGGCTCCGTCTTCAACCAACTCAGCTCCCCCCTGCCTACTCCTGGAATCAGGTCACCTGCTTAAAAGGCAGATTCCACCATGGCAATGCTTATTTTTCTGGGCCCAGGGCCTCCCACACACAGCAATGTCCCTCTCATCAGATCTTGCAGCCCTTAGAGGTAAAACCATGGGCTGATGTAATTTCCCAGATGAAGCTGCTACCCACAGGGTGCTCAGGTGAGCATAGAGAGATTGAAAAAAAAAAAAAATACTATTGTCCAAGTTGGAAGATTGCTGTACAGTTCACAAGGAGACTGAGTTTGCCTCCTCCACAGGGATGGGCGAGTTTATCCACACAGGCTGGGTTTGCAGTGGAAGGCAGAGGAGGCTGCAAAGCCTCCTCGAGTACATAACTATGGTCATTTAAAGCTGATGCGGGACCTCCCAGACAAAGGATCCCCTAGGATACTCTAAGTGTACAGGGATCCGATTGTGGGAGAGAGAGCAGACAGACACACTTAGAGGCATGTCAGCTCCCACAACTAGCCCTATGGAGTTTATTTCTGTCTTAGTAGTAGAGCCAGGTCCCTGCCAAGGTCCCTTCCATGATGCCTTAGCCAGCTCAGACCAGCCCTTCAAGCCAAGCTACTCACTTGCCATCGTCATCTCCCAGCCCAAGTTCAAAGATGCGCTGGGCTCCAAGTTCCTCCAGTCTCTTGTCCACATACTTTCCCATGGCATTGAAGTGCTCGTAAGTCTTGTTGCCCAGCCCAAAGACCTGGAAGGGAACGCTGATGAGTGTGGAGAGGCAGGGGCTGGACTTTTCCCATTCCACTGGCATCCTCTGGGCAGTATCACCCAGCAAAGGATGCTGAAGCAAGACAGCAAGACCTCTCCCAGCTACCCATCAACTATTTGTGGGCCTTGAATAAGAACCTACCGCTGGTGCTTGTCTGGTCAGTAGGCACCACCTCCTCCCCTCAGCCAGGCCTCCAGCACGTCAAGAGAACACGCGTACAAGAGCTGCCTGCGCCATCTCCTCCAGGGACCAGTAAGAGCCCAGGCTGCCTGGAGACCAACTGCTGCCCCTCGCCTCCCACAAACCGCTCAGCAAATGTTTGCTCACTGCTTTACACAGAGCAGCTGAACATCTCTGGCAGTGGACTTTCTCCTCATACACAATTATTATGCTGCCTAAGGAATTTGGCTGGGCTTTAGGTGAGGCAGCTGTATCTCAGCCAGTTATTCAGCTCGGCACAGGAAGAGAGCTACACGCTCCTCCAAGTGATTTAATTTGCGGGAGAAGATCTGGCCCAGGGCTGCTCAATTAGCTTCTGAACAGCAGCAGCCGCCTGAATACATTTACAGACCTCATATTCAATGCCTGCTGGGCTGTCTGCGGCAAGATATTACCAGTGAACCCTTGTGATTTAGGGAGTGGGGAAAGCGCTCTGACATCTGCATTTAAAGCCTGCAGATACATGTTTGTAAGTGTCCAGGAAGCTTGGAGAGGAAGACAATAGTGACCAGATCCAACACAGGCATACAAGGCAAAGACATCATGTTGTGCCTTTACCAAAGCCACGTGCAGGCACAGGGGAGGGCTTTTGGCTTCCCTGCCCAAACGCAGCACAAACCAGAAGCGAGCCACTCACCGCAAATCGGAGACCTGACAGGTCAGCGTCAGCCTCCTGCAGCCAGTCGTAGAAGTCTTGGGCGTTGTCCGTCGGATCACCCTCGCCGTAAGTGGCCATGCAGAACACAGCTAAGGACTTGTCGATCTCAGAGAGGCGACTCAGGTCCGACTACAACCAAAGGAAAGAACAAACCCTGAAGGATCCCACAATGCGGTTACTGGGCAAGCTTATTCCTACAACGCAGCTGCCTCTGGTGTGTGGAACAGCACCACGTAACGTCAAACAGCTGATTACAAAAGGGGTTGGGAAAGGCCAAACCTATCCAAAATGGCAGGGGAAATAAGGCTAACCACCCTCACTGGACTGCAAGCCAATACTTCCAGCCCACCAGAAAAGCAATGGGATTTTTCATACAAGGCTTTAAGGGACCAGGATCATTGTGGACTCTGGAGAACACCAGTGTCAGTGCCTCTGCGCAAGACTGCAGCAGTACAGGACCAACACTGACTACAGAAGGAATATGGAGCAAGTTTCATGCTGCCAACAGATCACTTGTGGCTCTCAAATACTCCAGGCTACCTTCCTCTTTAGTGTTGCAATATTCACCCCAAATCCATACACTAGCAAGGATCAAGCCCATCTCTGCATCTCTCCGGCTGATCCAATTTCCTTTCTTCTCCCTAAGTGACACTACTAAAAGGACAGCTGTCCCTTGGCTAGGTCCTTCCTGGGTTTTTAGGGGACACTAAAAGGATGTTACCTATCCTGAGGCTGTTTGTGGCTAAATTACCAAGTCATACTCCTCTGGATCCGCTGCCATGCCCCGGAGGCCATAGCGATGAGCATCTTTGGAAAGGCGGTTGGCAAACTCCTCTGCTGTACCCGTCTGGGAACCGTAGAAAACCACTATGTTTCGCCCCTGGAGAGAAAAAGGAATCTCGGTTAAATGGTGATTACTCATTTGGCAAACGCACAGAGGAAGCACGTCTTGCCAAAGACAAAGGAATCGCCTGGGATCAGGAGCCCTGGACTGCAACCTGCAGGCAGCCAGGAGCCTGCACCTGTACGGGACTCCGACGGGTTTGCGGCAGGAAACTCAAGGCTAAGCTGTGAATAAGAACATGACTCTTGTCAGTCTCAGAGAGGTGACTCAGGTCTGACTAAAACCCAAAGCAAAGAATGAACACTCAAGATTTATTCTCAGCCTCAGGGCTGCAGGGTGACTCCTGGAAACAGGGGAATCCCTGGATGAGAACGGAGATCGGCCTAAGCTATGGGAAAGTGCCCAAGCACTGGAGTTCCTGCTCTGTCGCAAGCCAGCTACTCAGCTACTTTGAAGTAAAACGGAAAACATATCCAGCCCTTGCTTCTTCCTCTGCTTCCTCTTGCATCCAGTCCAGCAGAATCAAAAGCTGCCAGTTCTGTGTACAATTCCCATTCCAGAGCGAGCCAGTTTGGGAACCAACCACGTAGATAACTGCCAGCCAAGAATTTTAAAGTCTTTTCCATTTCCCTCTTGACTTTGATCTTGTATTACACTTTTTTTTTTGCACCAAATGTTCACTTTCATTGTTTCCTCTAAGAACAACTCTCAGGCACAGACAGAAAGAGCTATTCCTGCCTGCCCAGACAGCCTTCCTCTGGATGCTCTTTGCAGCAGACGTGTCCATATCCAAACCAGTCCCCCCTGCTGACAGCTAGACAGTCTCCAGAGGAAACAGGGCAGGACACAAGCTCCTCCACCTTCCCAGCACCCCGCATAGCCAGCGCAAGAAGCTTACCGTTTTCTTCATCTTCTCAATGAAGCTGCTGTCTCTCACCGGAGCTGCTCTGCAAGACAGGAGGAACCTCCTTTCAGATGAGCATGTTCATTCTTTAAGGTCAGGAATAAGCAAGTGGGGAAAAAGCAGCCCCCAGACCTCAGGAAGGCTGCCCAAAAGGGTGAGAGTCCCCACTGCCCGCTCCCGTTTGCCCTGTCCCAGGGATGCCCAGCGCTCAGCTGCAGGGCTTCTTTGCACCCAACCATGGAGCAGGAACTCACAGCAGAGGGGAGAAGCTGACCCCAAGCCCCACCGCCACCAGTAAATCCTCCCACAGGCAGAGCCCCAGCACTCAGCCCCGGCTGCCAGGAAACCTTTACTCTATCAGCTGCTCTGAGAGGTTTCACAGCTGAGCAGGTTACAAGGATCTCTCAGAGCTACAACGCAAGAGGAGGTCTCCAGACAGATCTCAGGGGCCAAGCTGCAGTGGGGGAGAAGGGAACGGAGAGCTCTGGGCCTCCCGGCACCACAGCAGACAGGCAAGGGATCGGTCCCCAGCCATGCCCCCCAGGGCAGATTCCCCAAGCTTGAAGTCAGACAGGCCTAAAAACCAGCTGTTCCAACCTCAAAACAGCACGCCAGCCACGAGTCCCAGAGCTGGAGATCGACACAGTCCCTCACAACATCCTTCTCTCAGTCAGAGCCGCAGAGCCTCCGGCAAGGCAGCCGCTGCCTGCCGAGGTCCCGCAGGGCTTGTTCCCACGCCGGGGTTTCTGGCCCCGCGCGGATCTCTGGCACAGAGAGCATCTGCGTTACTGCATGGAGGAGGCTTTCGCTAGCTCGAAGAGGGACAAACCACAGCAACGTCAGAAACCTTGAGGCAGAGATTCATGCTGCTGTGGCTACCCCCTATTAGGTAGGGAGCCAGAAGAGCTTTGCTACCCTAAACACACCCATGGGTTTTCAGTGTCACAGGGTGAAAGCACCCCAGCCCTGGGGACCCTGGGAGCCCCACAAGCAGTGGTGACTCTGGCTATAGTCAGATTAGGCGCTGGGGTCTTTTCAAGGCAGGAGGGCAAGTGCCAGGAGCTCACTTGCCGTCTGCCCCGCTGGAGCTTCAGTAGCAGGGAGAAGGAACGTGGGACCCATTCCCGTTTCTTTTTCACAATGGAAGAATGCAAGGCTGGGTCTCCTGCGGGAAGAGAGAAGCCTCCAGGCGAAAAAAAAAAAAATGCTTTTGGCTCCGGCCCATGTGAGAATATGCAGAGCTCACTAAGAGTTTCCTAAACTCTGCAGCCCAGAGGGAGGGATTTCTGCGATGCGCCGAGGCATTTGCCGAGCACACACACAGAGCGCGGCAGGGTGGGGGACATTCAGTAAAGCACGCCTTCAAGCACCACTTTCTACCCAAAGGTAACAAGGAACTCCGTAACCGGGCCCGATAGCTCCGAGCACCAACACAGTCTCATACAGCATGCACGGAAGATGAGCAAACCCTACCCAAAAAAGCTACCCAAGGCAGCTGTGCTCCCAGCAGAGAGCGGCTCTGCACCCCCCGCTTTGCTCTCTCAGCAGCGAGCCATCTCCCCACGTTGTCATTGGCCTCCTGCTGGGAACAGGGACATTGCAAGCACCTTACGAGAGCAGATCCAACCCTGCCCATGCTCCCGTCGGGACGGGGGCTTGGGAGAGCTGCCCCCCAGCCCGCTCACAAAACTCAGCTCTCACTTCGCTTTTGGCTCCTTGGTGAACCTCTTTGGTTTACTGCCCTCTGCGAATGAGATCCAATTAAAACAGCTGTTAGGTCAACTGCTGAAGAAAACGCTTTTAAAGCAGGAAAAAAAAAAAAAGTTTTAGATCCTTTCAGCAAGCTCTTTGGAAGACCAGAGGGTGCAGCACAGGGAGCACGTCCATTTTCAAAGGAGGCAACCCTGCACTGAAGCGCTGTGGTGGAGAAGAGTCCGTGGCTCAGACACAGAAGAAATAATGAGCCTGGCTTTTGAAAAAAAGGCTACACAACTCCCCAGAATCGCTTCATCAGGGTGGCTTGAAAATCTGAGCTGCAAAAATGCACAGATGCCAAAGACAGAGACGACACTCATTTCCACTGCTCAGCCAGGAAAAGTTAGAAGAGAAAGCGTGTTTTCAGCCATGACTGCTCCTACAGCTTAGATGCTCAGGGTAGCGACTAAGAGAGTTAGAAGAAGCGACGGGTGGAGGAAAGGGGATTAACTCCATTGTCGGAGCAAGCCTTTGGCTTGCACAGAATGCCCACCCTTGGTGAGAGCCCACAGCGCAAGCGACTCCCAGGGCTCTGCCACTTTGATTTCAGCAGAAAGAAAGGAGGGGGGAGGAAGTTCCCGACAGCTCAGCAACAACATCACCGTCTCCGCTGAACACCTCTCCTTCAGAAAGCTCCCATGCCCGTGGCTTTCCTCGCGAAAGCACGCGTACGCCCAGCAGTGAGAACGTCGCAGAGAAACCAAGCGCCGACAGCAGGGTCGCCTCCGGAGCAGCTTGCCTCCGAGCGCAGCCTCTCCCCTTCCTTCTCCCCTGGGAGCAGGGAGAGGCACCCCAGCCCACCCGGCTTCGGGGCGGCAGAAGCGACCTTCGG